TTATTCAAATCCAATAAAGCAATGACTAATTCTCTTAATTCTAGGCATTACATATTAGAAGTAATACTATCAGCGAAAGGCCTCTTCGTAATACCTTAATTCTAATTTACAGTATCATTTGTGAAATAATTGGAGATTTAAAAATACTTGGCACATGTCCAATGGTTGAACAAAAAAGTATCCTCTTTAATATTAAGTGGAAGGAAGCAGTTCAGCTATTTCTATCCACACAGCTCTGATATGCTTAGACAGAATCAAGAGAAAAGTACATTTCTGAGTGTGAAAAATATTTAAAATTTTGAAAAGGCTTCCTATGTAGAAAAAATTGTGGGTACGCCTTAATTTTATTACAAGCAGTGCAATTACTTCAGGTTTATGTTAGGGTGAGCTAAATCAGAAATAGGTGGGATTGAATAGGTTTAGAGCTGTGCCCTAGAAGTGCAGTCTGATTCAGGAGGATCCCAAATTAACTATTCCATGAAACTAAGGACTGTGTATGTAATGACAGTTATCCCAGCAAATGATAACTCTTTATCTTTAGATAGGGCATGAAACTCTTCTGCTGCATTTACTCCATTGCCCTTAAGTGTAATAACTAAATAACATTCCCAATATGTCATTAGTGGGCTTTATCAAAATCAGTTAGGAGAGTTAAGTCAGTTCCCATCGATATACATGGCTTGGACATGAAGAACTTCCCACCTGTAGTCATGAAAAATGTCTGTTACAAATTGGAGAAAGCAAGAAAGGTTTAGAGGCAGTAAAATATGACATTGATGTTTTGTAACAGAGCTGCAAGCTGAGCTCCACTGGACCCTGGTCATACAAGGGGTAGAGGATGAAGTACAAAAAGGACCACAGATCCAAAGTCAAACCAATATTGCAGCAGCTCATAGTGAGGACACAGAACCTTAAGAGTCTTGTATGCATTAAGAATTTTGCTCACTTTAATTTTACTCAAATTATGAACACATTTTTAATAGGGACATGTACTAAGAATTCCTAAATGAAGCACTAATTAAAAATCCATGATCCCACAGACTGTCCAGAAATGATGTCTTGCTATCATAACTCCGGGTAATGAAGGAGTTTAAAGGTGTTTCTTTAAGCATCAATACAAAAATATGTTATCCCAAAGAAAGATGAAGACATTAGCATTTTAAAGTCCTAATATCAGCAGTGAATTTATTTGTATGAACCTTTTCTAATGACATTGCAGTTTTATAACAGCTTACACTTACTACCTTACAGGAATAAAAAAAGGAATAAAAAAGAAAATAGCTATTTGGTGAATAAAGATAGGAGCTGCAAAGTAACAGCAATTGGCTGCAGGCTTCTACCAGCTACACAGGCTACAATGGATAAAAAGGAAAGCTAAGAAAGGTTAGCATAAACTATAAACACATTAAATCATTGGCAGGTGATAGTAGCAGATAGAAGTTTTGAAAAAATTTTATTTCCCTAAGGCTAGCATTACATTTCCTAATTCCCTTTTCTGATAACTCAAGATAGAAAATTGCCTGATGATAGTATGACTGCAAATATATAGCAGTCATATTACCTTATATGCGGTAATATATACTGTATAAACACACAAATAAATTTCTGAGGTAAACAAACCTTCTCCAGTGCAGCCTACATACTTATATTTTATGGTATCTTTCAAAAATATCATATTCAAACCATCTGCATAAAAGTTACTGAATTACAATTTCATAAAGGTCTTTAATATGTATAGTCCATAAAGTCAGGTACACTCTAGGTATATCTCTAAATAGACATAAAAAGAAATTCAGTTCCTATTAAGATGTAAAGCATAGATAATGGTCAGATAGCACAGATGAGAAGGCCAATTTTATTTGTCTAATCACTCTATCACACTGGCGTATTTCAAATGGAATTGCACTACCATTTTGTTGAATTAAACTTACACCTCTAATTGTTAATTATACATCTGGATTAATATAAATTGAAGTAACAAAGATACCATGTCAGATCTTCAGCCAAATAAGCAGTAGTGGTAAAGGTGCAAGAAGTAATGATGTGTGGCTGGTAACCAGCTTTTTAAAATATTTCTACAGTACAGTAACAAGGTTAAACTTCAGCCTCTCTACCTCTAGTATAATTCATTGAATACTAATAATTTTCCCACACTCATTGTCACGAAGAACACCTTAATACTCATGGATGTTTAGGAATTAAAATTAGGATTTGATGCATAGCATTTATGAGAGACATGTCTTTCAAAGGAAAAGATTCCTCAGAGGGTCAGAGATGGCAAAAGAAGCATTTGATAGGGATGAAGACAGGTTAACTCTCTGTGGTACAGAACAGCAAATTCCTACAGGAAATCCATGTCAAGTAAGTGACTTTGTAAAGAACACAACTTCCTGGCGTTAAAAAAACCCAATCAACCAAAACCACAAAAAATCCTACCAACCCTGCCAAAACCAACTAACCAACCAAAACAAAACCACAAAACCCATAAAGCCCTGCTAATCTGAACTGGTGGGGATTCTAAAGCATTACAACTCCGAGGACTCCAAAAAGAGATAAGATTGTCTCACAGGAGAATTTTTCTGGGCAGAACTTGTCAATATTATACGTTAGGTTTTCAGCACTGCCAAAAGCTGCCACTTTCAGACAGTGGCAGCTGCACGGGGAGCTGCCTAAAACAGCCAGGAGTGACATGTGAGGAAATGGCCAGGGAGAGATGCAGCCAAAGTCTTGTGGGCAAGGAGGCTCCCTTGTCCCCACTTGGAATGCTGTCCAACAGCCAGGCACTTCAGACAAATCTCATGAGCCAAGGTCAGTATCATCTTACTCGCTGCTTATATCTTTTTGAATAACTTTTCTGAGGCTCTGGCATTAGTCTCTGGGAAGTAGTTATATGATGCTGACTGATAAGAATTGCTGCATTGGGTCCTATATAACTGCTGTATTTCCCCCTCATACAAGGCATGAAATAAACTGATCCTACCCTTGGTTATAAGTCCTGTTATCCAACAATCAGCCGATTGGAGACCTTCTAATGTCAAATTCAAACACTAAGAGAAGGAGCCAACTTCTTGGCTCAGGAATATACTCTAAAGCACAGATGTAGGGTGAGCTGAGAATTCACCTGCAATAAAACAAAGCAGCTGCAAGGTCCATCAGAGCTGAAATGCTTTGGCCTTGTAAAGGATGACTGAACAAAATTTAAGGAAAAAAATAACAGCTCAGGAGCAATTTTTTTCAGTGAGTGAATAGAAAGAACAGAGGATGTGAGGGAATATAAAGAAACTGAAATCGTAAGTCATCTAGACAATTGACTTAACACTGAAAATTCAGTTTTGACATTTTTGGGTACTGGCATGGGCCCTGATAAGAGGAAGATGAAGATACAAATCAGAGAGAAACGGTGTGAGTATGAATGTTTGATAAAATAATAGGATTTGCAAAACTAAGAAATGTACTCAATCCACTTAGAGTTTAGATATGCTGAGAGATTTTAGGCATCAAAGAATCAAAAACGATACAAAAAAGGGCCTCATCTTTCTCTGTCTTTCCCCAAAGTAAACAAACATGCACGACTTCAAGTCAGAGCCCACAGAAAGCAACTGCCTAACAATTCTTTACACTGATTAATAAAGATAGTAGTAAAACGGCAAAACTCTGTCTTACCCTGGTAAACAAATCCTTGCTAACAACAAAGGTAAATATACTGTAATATAGAACAGGCAAACGTACTAGAAAAGAAACAAATAGATAAGGTTCTTCTTGAATAGAAACTCAACTAATGCCTTCAACATATATCCATTGTCAAACTATGTGCATGTTCAACCCAGTAGATCGCTGTTGACACACAGGAATGAAAGCAATTGAGAAAACATTAGAAAATGCCTTATAACTGGAGTAAAAAACACAAAACAGCCTGGTGTGCAAAACTGATGTGTCTTTTGCGCTCCTCCTCAGGCCAAGACAGAGAGTCAAAGATGACAGTCTGAAAATATGGAGTAAGTAAAAGGCAGATTATTTTCTGGCTATTATGGAAAAGCAAAAATCAGATCTTTGCTCCTTACCAAAACTGTTCCCACTGCCAAAGTAGCATGTTAAAATGAAGTAAAAGAACATTCACCATTCCAATAGTCTGAGAACAGTTAGCTAATACCAAACATGTCTTATACTTTTCTCCAGGACTTGTGAGTTTTAGTAGGGTCCTAACTGACTGTTCTTTGCACTACTTAGAAAACTTCTGTGCAGTCCCAATTTTTCAAACTTCGATATATAACCTGTACCTGTAGTCATGTCAGTAGTCCAACCAAGGATATCTGTATGTATGTCAATACCTCTTACACTTGAGTGGAAAACAAAGCAACTCCCTCTCCTCTTTGCCGCAGTCCAGCCAGTTATTATGACAACTTCCCCATGTAAAAAATAACCTCTGCATCTACAAGTTTAAAGTCTCCCCACAAAAACATGTTCCGTTGTTAAACCACTGCATCAAACAGCATGGTTAATTCAAGCAGAACATGGTACCTGCCATAGAGCATCACTTCTACCCATAGCTCTGTGCTATGTTGCACCCAAACAAGCTTTCCACACTTTTCCTTTAATGCTGCTTCACTTCAGATCAGTTACAACTTCTCAGAAAGGCTCTTTGATGGCTGAGAGTGCTTACAGCAATTCTTTGGCACCTTTAGCTCTGTCGATGTTCACCTAAGTCTTTAAGGTAAAGTCATATTTAGAAGCCCTCACATACATTCAGGATCAAGACTTTAAGACTTCGAATATGTGGAATTTGTGACAAATGATGAGGATTTGTCACATTAGAAACTGATTAGAAAGAGCCACAATAGATGTGGTCAGAGACTAAATAAGAGCACAGTAAGATTACCTCCCAGGTTCAAATATTTTGTTTGTTGTCTATAAATAGAAGTAAATAATATTGATACTTATTATTTTTTGTTTTAAATTGTAGTATCAATTTGGAAAACGTCTATTGCACCTAGATATCTTACCTTTTCACATTTTTCTCCTTAGATCTGACTGGTCTTACCAGTATTCAGGTATTTGATAAGGCTCTAGAAACTCCTATAGCAAAGGAGAAAGAGGCAAAGGTAAGAAAGGACTCTGATATATTCTCATAATTAACTGCATATTATTAGAGCAATAAAATGTTAGAATGTTCAAAGTCCTTCTCTTAAGAGGGGGCAGGCTGCACAGCGCAAGCATTTTAATTGATTCTAAATCCCCTGATTTCAGCTACTCAAACAGATGGAGTACGACAGCAGACTGGTCTTAAAGCATCCCAACAATGGGTCATTTCCCCAAGGACCAACACTTTAAACATAGCATAGAGAAGAAAGGCACCTCCACTACCTTGCATTCTCCCTCTCAGTCTCATTCTTTCCCAAATAAAAGGGAAAAAATCCCCCAAAGTTCAAAATGTTATTTCAGGTTCAGACTGGCAAAAGAAGTTTACTTTTTCTATAGGATGAGGTAATCAATTTTGTGATCTCTCATTGCCATTTTCTAGCCAAAATTATTTTTTTTCTTATTATATAGCTTATTACCCACAGCATTCCATGCTGTTCTAGTCCATTCTATTTCTTTCTCAGGGAATTTAAAACCAAAAAGTTGATGATCAGTCCTCGTTTCTCTTTCACCTGTTCTCCATCACCAGAAAAGCAGTGTTATATAAAGCAAAGACATAGGTGTTTGTATGTGGTGGTTTTAAACATAAAATACACATTTTGTGCATCCTGATTCTTGTTTCTCTTGCCTCATAAACACACTTAGCAGTCCCTACGGATAGTGCAATTTTAAAGAAAGTAATTATCTCACTGTAGATTTTACTTCTGATTACATTTTCCCCCTGTTTTCAATGCATTATGAGTTTTTCCAGAGTGTTAACAGAAGTATTTTCAGCAGGTTTTCTGCAGTATCCTTCATCAGTGTCTTAGCATTTACTTTAAACCATTTGAAGAACAAATGTCAACATCTGAATACCATTTAATTTGCAAGTCCAGTGTGATTCATAGAAAAAATCAGAAAGCAAAGCACTAAACCAACACTTCCAAATCAGACTGCCTAAAAGCACATGAAATCAGAAAGATGATCTGCTGCTATTATTCACAGTGAACAGGAGTTTACTCCTTTAGTAAAAGCAAGATGGAGTTGGATAGCACTGAATGTAAGACTAGAGAATCTTAATTCCTACATAAATGGTGATGTAAAGATGTTGAGCATCTGAGCCTTTTTTTGTATTTTAGGATGGCTGAGATCTCCACTGAAGGTTGTCTGTTTTCAGGCACTGATACAACAATTTTCTAACTCAACAAGATGGAAGAAACATATGCTAGCATATTTAACAATTCTCCGGCAGACATTTGCATCCTCCCTCTTTGCTGCTGCTGATGTGTCCAAACCTCCTACCATTTAATGAGAACTTCAATATTTAAAAAACCTCAAAAATGCAAAGTAGTTTGGAAAGATTAACCTGAAAGTTACTTCGGGAAAGAGGCTCTCTGCTGGAACCTCCAAATTACTTATACAACCTAACCATCCTTCTGCTCTCAGCTTTTAATACCTTACTCTTTGGCCATTGGTAGCTATAGTGCTTTGCAAAGCATCATCATAATCCTAATATCCCCAGAGTCCAGCTTGTGAAAAATGTATACTTCTATTTAAAGCAACATCATGTTTTATATTGTGGCAATAAAAGATTTTTTTTGCATTCTGATTATGAGTGTTCGGTCTTCTTACTCCCTTACCTTAAATATGTGCTCACAGGGGAAAATAAATCTGGATTTTAAATTTAATGTTTTATTTCTGTTTATAGCATACTAAAAAAGGTAGTGCAAGTAAGCAGTGTAAGCTACTGGTTATTGATGCCAGCTTTGTTTTAAAGCAATGATAGTAGCTTTTCCTCTCAAAGGAAGAGAGTATTTCTTCTAGAAACTATAAATTGTATATATTATTTTACATTTTTAATGCTGAATTTTCATCTTAGATTTGTAGTTTGATGTTTCTTAGCTAAAATGTTTTCATACTCATGTCTCACTTTTTCTTTATGGCATCTGTCAATTTAAATATGCAAAAAGAACATTAATATTAAGAGCAGGTTAAATATCTTCTAGAACCCTTTTTGTCCAGGGAGGAAAGTCTGACATGGGTGTACTTGAAAAGTTATCACACCTATTAATACTATAAAAAGAATTATAATCAAAAGAAAAAGTTGCTTTGAGTTTATAGATAATAAACAGTTAAGAGCAAATTTTTGAGATCAGAATAAAGATGATACCATCAAACAGTATTGAAGTGTCAGCATGTGAGAAATAAGGAGTTCAAATATTGAATGTGAAAGAGTCTCAATTCCTATATTATGGAGCTTACCAAAATTATATAAGAAATTAGAGTATGTAAAAAAAAACCAAAACACCAAACACCAAAACCCATAAAATGAAGCTATTTTCCCTGACATTTAAAAAAATATAAACAATATAACTGTCATTCACAGTCTGGGAATTTTTCAGACACAAAATTTCAGTCAAATATAAAAGCACTAGGAGAAATAAATCAAGTCCAGCCTGTTTCATAAAACATCATGGATCTGCTGTGAATGTATGAGTATGCAAGTATGCAAGAGAAATTGAATGTGAGGTACTTAAAACATGTAACAGATTTCCACTAAAAGCACCACAAAGTTAGAAGTTAAAGAGAGAAGGAGTGGAAAAAGCAATGGAAGTTATGAAAAGCAAAAAAATTAAGCATCTGTAGGCAAAACCATGTTATTAATAATTTTAGTGACCAGTTAGGTTCGATACTTGTGCAAATACACACATATATAGCACACAGAGAAATACAGAACAGACAGTAATAGAGAATAATGCAGTCTGATGTAAGATTAGTTGGGTTCATGAGCAATGCAGCTGATGCTGATAAATGTAGATTGTAAAAGTTAATTGTAAATAGATAAATGCGTACATTGTAAACAATTTCAGGATCAAATGTTCAGGTGCAGAAGAACTTGGAATTGTTACAACATATCAAAACTTAAAAAAACTTAGATTCTACTATAGTACAGGTACAAAGAAAGGCAAAAGTGATAAGGATGGTCTTGTACTGGATTGAAGTGGAAATTGAAAGAACTGGAGATCAAGTTCCACATTTTTTTGTGGGGGCTGGATCAAACATACCTTGGACAGTGTTGTCATAACAAACTGAGATGGAGTTTGAATTTACTGTTGATTACATGGTCTCCAAGTAGAGCATCCTCCTCATATGTGGAGTTAATGCTCAGTAGTTAATATGTTCTAAAATTTACACCTCAGCTTTCTCACAGTAATTTCCCCTTGAAGACAAGGCTTGAGGGTGAAATCTTTCAGAAGTATTTATGCTGGTCCAATTTTAGTCCCATGGAAATCGTTCATAGAATTATTGACTTGGTAGCAAAGTTCTGAAAGTTTTGAAACATTCCTCTCTCTTCCTCACCTTGTACTCTTCAGAATTTTTTTCCTCACCTTGTAGTGATATTACAAACACCTCAATTGTCCAGGTGATAGAAAAGTGAAGGAAACCATGAAATGGACTGAAATGCTTAGTTGCATTGCTACATCTCAACAATGAAGGAAATGTTTAATTACTATGCATGTTTAGAAATACATCCAGGTGTTCTGGAGGGATTTTAAATCACAGAGATGACAAACTATCACAAAAAATAAATCCTTATGTTGAAAGATAACAATTTTAAAGCTATGAACAATAATAAAAAAAAAGTCACTGATACAAATTTAGAGAAATTACATTGAAAAAAATAAGAAAATGGAAGGTAGCCATGATATGTTAAAATTAAATGAATGAAATAAATTAAATTTTTTTAGATCATACCCCCCTTCCTGTAAAAATGAACACATATCCTATTTTGCTGAGCAAAATTTTTACATGCTGCATTATTAGTATCTGAGTAAAAAGTAAAGATTCAATGAGGATTAAAAAATTAGCTCGGAAAACAAAGTGTAGGAATGCACAGGAAATTCTCAGCATCAGTTAATTCAGGACCATGATGCACCATGCATCTCTTCAGAAAAAGATACAGGGTGAGAGTTTCAAAGAAGTCTAAGGAGCTTCAGTTACTGATTCATTTGAAATTTGAATTTCAAATTAGACATGGACACTCTAGATCCCTCAGACTTCCTGGAAAGCCCTACCCCTAGGATTCTTTGTGAGGCCCTCAAAAATCTCACTGAAAACCTCAGTTTGATGCAGAGCAGTGGACAAAGGCAAGCACACTATTAGTATGCAAAAGCAGCAAGAGAAAATGACACTACAATTTTAATGTATTTTGGTAAACGAATAGTTCAGAATGACTAGGAACAGTATGTTTCATTCTGGTCAGTCTCTCTCAAAAGAGAGAGGGAGTTCAGAGGTGGCTGTCAACAGAAGATTGCAAGCATAAATAATTTGTTAATATAAGGGATAGTCAAAAGATGCAGAGTGTGTACTTTGCTACATTAGATAAATGAACTGGGATAACCCTTGCTCATCTCCTCACAAGTTCACAAAGTATGCTTCAGTGAAACAAAAAGGCAACAAAATTGAAACTGACAAAATTATATGCTCTGAACAATGCACAATTAATCTAGGAGTGTCATTGCCACTAAATATGACTGCAGATCTACATAACACAAACAAAAAGAAGACAAGAACAGCCAGCAAAGGATGTTTTCAGTTGTATTTCAAAATAGAGTATTTACTTTCTTATATAAACACTCTATTAAAAGAATAGATTTTACAAGAGCTCAAGGGGAAACAGAATTAATTTTGAAAAATCTACATTTCTAGGATCATAATAACTAGGGTCTGGATCATATAAAAAAATGTAGCAACTTACAAAAGAATTTTACCATAGAAATTTCATATAAAGTCTAAATAATTTTTAATAAGTTTGGATGGGTCTGTTTATTGAGTTCTGTGGAAGGAGTGGCAGAGAAAAATCTCCATTTCTGACTAAATGACCGTAGTTTCCACTGTCATTGATCAAAGCACAACTTCTGTGTTTCACTGATTTACTTAAGATGAGGAATTATACA